ATAGAGAGAGAGAGAGAGAGAGAGAGCACTCAGAAGACAGAATCTAAACTGCAAGTAACAATGGGTGTGTGTTGCACACTGACACACTAATAGAAGCTGAGGGCATGGTTAGAGAGGGAATGCCAGGGAAAGGCCCAGGACTGAGCTTGAGGAAGCCAGCAGTGAGGCTGGGTAGAAGAGGATGAATGTGGCACAAGGCCGAGAAAGTGTTTCCTGAAGTAGGAGGAAAGCTAAGTGAGCACAGTGTCATGGAAACCAAATGAGGATAGTGTTTCAAGGAGAAAAAGGTTCAGTGTTGGATGCTGCTGAGAAGGCATAGGTAATGAAGCTTTTAAATGCCCACAAGATTTAGTAGCATGATGGTGGTTGGTGATTTCCAGAATTGTCTTCTATTTTCTCTGGTAATTCTTCATAACTGGAAACTCCTTAAAAGAAGACACCGTGAATAGAGCTCCACATTCTCCTATACTGCTTTTCACTTAAGGAGTGCCCAATAAATATGTGCTATTTTGTGAACTCACATGATACACTTGAAGCCTTAAAAAAGTATTTAGGGTATTTTGGGGGTGGTCGTGATGGAACTATTCTGTCTCTTTACATGTATTAAAACTCATAGAACTGTATAGCCCAAAAGAGTACATTTTATAGCATTTTCATTTTTAAGAATTTTAAAATAATAATGGTAAGTTTCTTTCTGTTACATGGGTAGGATCTTGAGCGTTTATGGTAAAGAGATACTTTAAACCTTATAAGTACTTCCTAAATAGGACTTTGTATTTATGTAAGACTTAATAAAATACTGTATACTGAATAAAAACAACTGAAGTTTTAAATAAAGCATTTGAGAGAAACGCAGAAAAGTGCTGATAGGAAATTAATGAAAATGCTCATGTAATTTAAGCTGATACTAGAAGAAAGGAAAAAGAAACCAATAACAAAATCTCTGTTGTCTCATCTTTTTAACAGACAGGAATGGGTCACTTGGGTGTCACAAAAGATGGGCTTTGCCTGGAAGGAGAATCTGAATTTTTATTCCCATTGTATGCCAAAGAAATACGCTCAAGAGTGGTAAGAAAATGATGAATCATTTAAATCATTTGTGTTTTATGAAAAACAAAGAATGCTTAAGCACAGAAATTCAGCATATTTCAGAGCAGAGTTCTTAGAATATATACATGTGCACGCATGCATGTTACACTCTTTATAAAAAGCTTGGCTCTAAGGTTGTGGAATTTATTTCTGATGTGATATTCTAAACAGACTCCATTTTCACGCGATTCAGCTTGAATTTGGGGGCCTCAGTAATTTAGACTATAATAAAAGATTTGGTAATTAAAACCTTTATCAAAAACAACCTAAACTTCTTTCCATTTGTGCAAGTAAATTAAATATACTTATTTCGAGGCATTTAAAATTATCTGACAAGCTTAGAAAGAAATTAGTTTCTTAGTAATATGTTCTGTAGTAATTATACTAATTATAGATGAGGTCCTGTAGGATTCTCCATAAATAGATGAAATATCACCATTAAATAATTGTGTGACTTTAAAAGTAAATCTGCCTCAGTATTATCTTCATTTACCTCCATGAAATTTATAACTAGAGCCAAACACAAAATATAGTCAAACAATTTTTGTAATATATTCTATTTTTCCTTATATGATGCTATGGACTTTGTAGTAGAGATCAGTGTTTTGTTAGACTACTGATTAGGTGGTATAATCTAAATAAAATGTTAAAACTTCATCCAGCTATAACTCACCAGTTGTATGGCGAGTACAGTCTTCATTTTCCTCCCATCTTTCAGATATGAAAGGATATGTCAGTATTTCTTACATGCAGAGTCTGAACCAGCTATTCTAGGGCAATTAGAAAGGTAACAAAAGACCGGCCACTGTAAGAGAGATGACATACACTCCTGAACTAGACATCAGAACAATCACCAAGCTCTACTACCAACTACAAAGTGATAGGATCTAAAACTTACAAATACTGAGTGCAATGGAGAGATCCTAGAGAGTACACAGCATGTAAGAAGTTATTAGGCACCACTCTGTTACTTCTGGTAATAGCTCAGTTGACAGTAGGAGCAGGCAAGTGTCCTGGGATATCACAGGCTGATATATCTGTATGAGCTTGATTCTGTGAGCTTATTCAGATAATACACTTACATGTACATCAGTCATGATGGCATTTCACTGCATTAACCAGCGCTGTTGTATAGAAACATGGGAAATTAACATAAGCTTTTGTAAAAAGGGAAGTTAGATGCAAACAAAGAATTCAAATATTAGAACTTAGCCTTCCCCCACCCACCCTACCCCCAGCCCACAGAGTTATGTTGGCTGAGGGGGACCATTGCAGAGGCAGGTAATCTCCCTCAGTTAAGGAGGTAGGTTGGTAGTCCAGGGAAAACCAGCCCACCCAAAGTTCACAGAGTTTCATAATGGAGGGAGCTGTCACCTACCTACAGCTCCAGAGATTGCAGGGAGTTCACCCTACCTTCACCACCCCCCAGACTGAGCCTATACATACGTCCTTGTCAGTGCATGTGTGTGAGAGGAAGCTCCCTTAGACTGATTAAATAACCACTCAACAGGGACAGAAGAAGGGCGATCACACAGGTTTGGGAACAGCTCATATTCCCATCAGCCAGTGTGGGAAAACATCACAGGTCATGGAGCATCAGGTAGAATGTCAGGAAGGTGTTAGCTCAGGAGTGGCACAAGAGCAGCATTTATTTTATTATTATTATTAAAATAAATGCTGCTCTTGTCCCATATAACAAAGCTAAACAAGAAGTCTTGAAAGTATCATACTTATTCCAAGTGACTTACTGTGTCCCAGGACAAAGCTCAAGAAAACTGTGTTCTATCTGGGCACAAAGGGCAAGGAAAGCATGAACATCTTAAGTAGAGACATGAAAGATGGAAAGACAGAAAGAAACCACATGAATCTTCTAGAGATAAAAAGTATAACACCTGGGATTTTAAAGAAAGTAAATTGAGTTTCAAGATACATATAACAAAAACTGATAGAAATATAAGAAAAATATAGAATTATCCACATTTATAGTCAAAGATTTCAACAGCCCTTTCTCAATAACTGATAAAACAAATCCACAGAAAATCAATAAAGATATAGGAAAACAGAACAACATTATCAGCGTACCTGATATGATTAACATTTACATAGTACTCCCTGCAACAGAATACAAGTTATTTTCAAATGTACAACAGATAATCATCAAGATCATATTTTGGACTATAAAACAAATCTCTGTATATTTAAAAGTATTCAAATCATAAACATAGGTTATCTGACCACAATAAATTTGATAATAATAATAAATAAAAACAGTAACAGAAATATCTGAAAATGTTCCAAATATTTGGAAATTAAACATTGATACATAATCCATGGTTTAGAGAAGAAATAAAAAGAAAAATTAGAGAGTATTTTCAACTGATTAAAAATTAAAAAATATCAAGTTTGGGGGATGTGGTTAAAGCTGTGCTTTAGAAGAAAACATATAGTACTAAATGTCCATATTAGAAAAAAAGAAAATCAATGACTTCTGCACACTCCTTGAGAAACTAGAAACAGAAGAACAGATGGAACCAAACCTAAGAGAAGAAATGAAAGAGTAAAACGCAGAAATCAAAAAAATGGAAAACAAAAACAATAAAGAGAAATCAATGAAACCAAAAGCTGGCTGTTTTGAAGATCAATACAAATTGATCAACCTCTAACCAGACTAATCATTACAAAGAGAGGACAGAAAGGACCAACATCAGAAATGGCAGAGAGAACACTAGTAAGGATCCTACAAACACTCGAAGAACGGTGAGGGAATATTATGAATAACTTTATGCCAATAGATATAATTTTTCCACAGATTGTTTGGCAGACTTGTTCACATACACATGCTGCTTCAATGACTAAATAAACCTCTGCCATTCCCATATTAATTCAAATTTGAAGTAGCTAATTATGTCCATGTATGAAGTGACGAAAGGGGACTATTAAAAACTCTTAAGGCAATCGTGGCCTATATTTGGGCCCTACCAACACATCCTTACACTGTTAATTGCCTTTTTATGCATCTCTCTCATAGCTCCTTATCTAGGTCACACATTCTAGAGAAAAGATGTCATGTCCTGTGGCTCTTTTATCTACTTCCAAAAGCTAAATATAGTGTTGAATGATACATTGTTTATATCCAATAAATACAGTCAGAATTCAATTCAGATGAATGGAAACATCAAATGTTTCTTTCTGCCTTGCCATCATCCTATAAATGGCATAAAATTTTTCTAAAGGATATCACTAGCTAATTATGAAAACTGAAAAACTCATTGACAGACAAGCTTTGGATCTCAGCTTCCTCACCTAGAAATTGGAAATGCCACATACTTCACAATAGACATGGCAATTTTTGAAAAATGTACCCGTTGATTGTTTTCAGGTACTTATCAAAAATGTAGATTAAAGAGCAAGTGCAATTCAATAAAAGAGCTTTTGTTAAGTAATAGAGGTAATATTTATATCATTTAGTTAATATTGTTACAGAGCCATTTCTGCTTTAAACTATGAGTAACAGAAAATCTAGCCAGTATTGTATAAACGATGAACTTTTACTCTCACATAACTAGAAGCTAGAAGGGGCAGCCGCAACGTCAGTTCTGCACTCGCCAACCTTGGGGCCAGTATCTTTGCCGTCCTTCTGCCTGCCCCATGGTCACTAGATGTCTGCTAAGCTACATCCAAGGCATGTGGCCAGGGAGATGTGCAGGGCCCGTGCATGCATCCTTTTCATCAGGAAAGCAAAAGCTTGCCTAGAAACCCCAGCCCACCCCCAGAAGATGCTGGCTTCCATCTAGCTCGACCAGAATTATGTCACTTGGGTCCCCTTAGCTGCAAAACAGGCTAAGAAAGCAATTAGCCTTCCCTACAGTGGAAGGGTTTGAGAGTCCCTATTGGATCACATAACCAGAGCGGTTTCCAGAATAGCATATGTTGTCTAAGCATGGGAGAGTAGACCTCACAGCTCTAACCTGAGCCCTGACCTCCATTCTCAGAGAATGGTTAGAAAAGAGCGTGGAACTTGTCATCTAAAGACTGGGTTCCATCATGGAACTGTCACTTGCTATGACAGTTGTGACTTTGGGTGAGCTGTAATTTAATCTCTTTGAACTCAATTTCCTTATCTATCTATTAGGAGTAATGGTGCCAACTTCAAAATGGGGAGGATAAAACGAGAGGATGGATGCTAAAATTGTGGGTAAATTGTTAAGTCTTATTATCATGCTAGTTATTTTATGATAATGCAAAAACAAGTACTATAAGGTCACATTGTTCGATAGAATGAGAGGCTGATAAATCTCTCTGCTTCCACAAAGCAAGTCAGACAATTTCTGACCTGCTAGCTCTAAAATGCTCCTGAAACTTCTTTCCTTCTGAAAAATTCACATTATTCCCCATGACTCTGGAAGATATTTGGTTTCCTCTGAGTGAACCATAAACCCACCTGAATCCAAGAGCCAAATTACTGCATTCCTTTGAAAGAAAACTTTATGTAAAAGCAAGCAATCTTTTGTAAAACAAACCACCCATTCAGAATTGATACTGCAGAAAGCGCTAATGTGTTTATAAAGCCACTTTATCTTTCAACAAAAGCTCAAAAAAAAAAAAAGTAGACACCCAACAAATTTTAAAAGCTCTTTCAAAATTGTGAAAAGCCTTTGCATTTTAAAAAATAAGTAACATGGTATTTATATAGAAAAACTAACCATTCTCTGATTTATCTTCCTAAAATATATCATGCCATAAATAATAAAAATGAAATTTTAATTCTTTGGAAAAGAAAAAAAACACATTAAAACTTGGTTGTTTTCGACCTTCACTATGAAAACTGACTTGCTGCGTTGTAACCAGTGCACATAAGCACTATAAACCCATGAGATTATATATTTTGTGAAAAAAAAGTTAATACATTTACTTCTTTAACATACTATAATTCAAGCTTTAAAAAATAATTTTATAAAAACAAATTTATAGGAGCATGGACCTGTGACTCAGGAGAAATTATATAAATCTTAAATTTATATACAAATATAAAGATATGGTGTTTAGATTTTAAATACTGTATATTTGGCTAATTCTGTAAATCCCTTCCTAGGACTCTTCTCTGCTACTGCAGTCTACTCAGAATGTGACTGTAAGTGCACGAAACTCGGAAGGAAATGTCACAGGCAGATTGAAAGTGGGTGAGTCCAGCTCCATCACTGTGCTTTGCATAGGCGTGGTCCATGACCAGTGTGCTGAGTGGATAGGTTTGTTTTTCTTCTGAAGAATTTAAAGTTATTTATGAGCCATCAAAGTGTGAATTTCCTAAATATCATGCTGTGTTGACCACAGAGAATAGTTAGCATGGGGGTGGGGGGTGAGGAGACAGTCTGAAGTATTTTAATTAAAGTAATTTTGATTCCAAGAAACAGAGGACCATCCAAGGTAGTATAAGAAACATAATGATTATTGCAGGATGCAAAAGAACCTCCCAGAGATCGAAGTAAAGGAACCAAAGTAGTTGGCCTCAAAAGAACAGTGATCAGGGGCTAACAGCTAAAAGTTTTCTCTCTCCCTCCCTCTCGCTGCCTCTCCTTCCCCCTTCTTCCCCTCCATCCCTTCCCCTCCCTCTTCCTCTCCCCCCTCCTTCTTCCCATCCCTCTCTTCACCCCCTCCCTCCTTCTCCCATGTAGCCCTCCTTTCCAGTGTATACTTGCCCATCTTTTCCCTTGGGTATTATGACCACCTCAGTTCTAACTCTCTGGGACCTCCAGGACCTCTCTGGCTCTTCATCTGATGGGCTGTACTTCTCAACACCAATAACTCAGTCTTCAATTTCACGAATTCTAAAACAAAGTATCTCTAATTGCCCCACCTAATCTGTTCAACCAGCTGCCCTTGGGGTCAGCTATGCACATCCATCCAATCAGCTAAGACCAGAAAATAAGGTCAGATGGGAGGGAGGTCACATAGGGTCTTGCACAGTGTGAAAAAGGATTAGAGAGAAAGAATATAGATGAAAGCAATAACCATAGGGCAAACCAGCTGGTGAAAGGGATGTGTATACATCCTGTATGCTATCAACATGCCACAGATTTGCTAAACCTAAGAAATTGGAGGGCTCTGTTGATTATGGGAAAATAGATGAGACGTGTACTGCCAACACAAACTGGTCACTTTCAGTGTTTCTCTTTTTTAATGGCTGTTTTTACAAAACAATAATGTTACACTGGAAACTATAGCCATACATTAACCTGATGATTCCTTTTTATAATACTGATACAAGAACGCCATATTTTATGTTCTGTTTTCATCTTTATTACTTATTCTCAATAATGAATTGTATGTCTCTCTTGCTTAGAAGGTTGTTTAATCACTAAGAAATTCTCAGTGGATCTAGAGCTGAACCTGAGTTTATCCAGTCCACACATTTTTCAGACTTGTCTAAATCAAATCATGTGTTCTTGATTAACTATATAGTATTATGATTTATATTTACCATCATTTCTTAAAATTCTTTGACTGGCTTTTAAATGTTTGAGGAATTTTTGACCATCTTTTGTCATTCATTCAACAAACATTGAATGCCTGTGTGTTAGTTTCTATATGCTGTCGAGTAATTAATAACATAAAAATACGTAATTATTTCTTAGGACTTAAAAAGCTAAAAGATTCATTTTATAGCCTTATAAAAATGACTTAATACAAATACTTATTTCCTCACTTAATTTTTTGTTAAATGGATTTTCATATAGCATGCAATGGAGTTAGAGATAATATAAATCTATGCCCAGTTTCATGGATGAAAGAAACTGATGCTCTGAAAAGTGAATTTGCTCAAGAATGCACAGCTAGTTAGTAGAAAAGCCTAACCAGGAATGACCCCAGTACTTGTTTGTCTCAACCAGGCCTGTTTCCACTAACCCTCCCGCTCTCTAATCAGATTTCCTTAAATTATGGCATGCCAGTAACTGTTCTAGCTGTGGCAAACATGGTTCCTATTTTTGACTATTTTTGACAACAAGGAATGTACTAAAAAAAAAAAAGTTTCCCATTGGACTTACTTTGGTTTAAACTGTTGGCCTCAAATCTTGAGTTTTAACCTTAGTGTTTCAGGCCTAATAGACTGTTAAAATTAGTGATTTCTGCTAAACCTTTGGCTCGAAAGCCCGGGTTGTACTGACAACCCTAAACTAGGAAATACAACTCAGCTCAACAAATCCAAGATTATTTTCAGTAAATGACTACCCACAACCACAGTCATTCCAGCCTCGCACTTCCTGAAAGAAGCTAAATTTAGCTAATCTGTATATGAAAATGTAATTTATGTGAACTAGTCAAACTAATCCCTTTTAATTAAATGAATAATTGTTTATTACTAAGCCACTGTTAAAGTTGGCAAACAGTACAATCAAAACCAAAAGTCTTAAATTCCAAAAGTAGTCAAGCACTGAAAAGCAAGCACTAATAGCTAGCATTTCAAATCTTTGAACTAAAATATATCGAATCATAATCATAATATGGTTTTTAATTTGCAAAAGCAAATTTTAATTTGCTTTCAAATAACAATTCTGGTTAGCTTAAAAAGAAGACCCATCCAGGAGTACGCAAGTTATGCTCAGATGGGTTCGCAGGGTTTGATATTTGATTTTACATGATGGAATGTTAAATTCAAGCTATCGTAGTGGGGCCGGGAAGGCTGTTAATGAGGTATACTGCATGTCAGGAAGAATTTGATTATATTTTCACCAGAAAAACCCTTAAGCCAATTTCATAAACTTAATCCATCAGATCATAAAACCTTACTATATTTATTCTCTCTTTTTATTTCCTTCTTTGTACTGAAGCCTCTCATTACAAATTTTATTTTACCAGATAGCTCCTTTTTATTAATCACCAAAATACAATTTAAATTCTATTTCTTAAAGAACTCTGCTGCAAAAGATTATTTGCTCATCTCTAATCCAGGTCCAGCTAGGTTATAAAAACTCGCAGAATATTAATAGAAGTTAAAAGATGAATAGCAAACTCAACTGTTTTAAGAGATGATTCTCCCTGTGATTATGTGCTTTTTATCATTGAAGAACAGTTTCTTCTGGAAAAACATATTTAAATTTAACATTCAATGTCTATATATTTTAATAAAATGAAGATGAAATTTTATTCACCTCTGTGCCTTTACCTGGAGTGTTCCGTGTCCCTGGAGTGCCTCCTTCTCTCTTCATCAGGGAACCATAAACTGTTTCTTTGAGGTCAGCTCAGACATCATCTGAACCCTCAAGGATGGACCATGAATTCTTTGTCAGGGTTCTCATTGAGTACTGGCCATGCATGTATCATGGCTCTTATAAAATTGTCCTGTAATTGGGTTTATATGCTTTTTTCTTCTACAGACTATGAACTCCTAAGTTCTGAGCTACATCTCACTTGCTTATATATCCTCAGTTCGTAGCATGGAACCTTGAACATTAAAAAAAATGTGATAAGTTTGTGTTGAATGGAATAGACTCACTTTCCTGCATTTTCTTTGATTTAAGCAAGTCTTTATGTGGCTTTGTTACTGATAAAAATGATGCAACTAAACTTATTTGTTGAAGAGTTCATCAGTGTGTATGAAACAGTAGTTACAGAAAAGATGTCATTTAGTTTAACCCCTTTCATTTAACAAAGCCTCCTAAAAGTGTTATATGAACTCCAATGAGCAAAACTCTTTGAATCCTTACTGGATAAATTACTCCAGTTTTTTCTTCTTCTCAATTTTAAACTAAAATAACTTCATATTCATCATTCAATGCAAATCAGTGGTTAAAGGATAAATATGTAAGGTATCAGTGACTCAGAGAGGTAAATGCTGACACTGAATTACTGGGTGACTGAATCTGGGTGAAAGCTCAGAAGAGCAAAAATATAGGCAACTACAAAAAAATTAATGTAGGCTTCCTTAAGAGAAAGAAGATAAAACATAGAGTTCTACTTTATAAGTCACACACACACATGCACACACACACACTTAAATGAAGAATGATTGAAGAGTTTTGAGGTACAAATGAATGAAATAGCATAAGAATATGTTGGTGACCAAGTCCAAAATGGATTAATGTACTAACTAAAAAGCTCCTATTTAATTTCTAGCAGGTATCCATCAGCTTTAATGAGTACTGTCAGGGACACAGAGACACATACACAAAAACTGTAAGCTATTCATTTTCTCAGTAAACTTCTTTTCTAAATCAGACTATAAAACTAACATGCAACACTTGTAGTTCCTTAAGTACATGCTGAAAGCTGGGTCCTAGAGAGATTCATTTCTTATGCTTCTGGTCTCTGAAAGACTGGAAGCACAAAGAGAAATGATGAAATATAAAATGATGAGAACCCACGTGTATGGATGAGAGAAATTGAACAAGATCTCATATGCTCCATGAGGACACAGTATTTATCACTAATGCCTGGCTCCTAGTAGCACCCATTAAACATTTTTTTTAAGATTTTATTGGGGAACTGGGGGAGGGAACAGTGCTGGGGAATCAGGAAAGGGGAACAGACAAGTTGCTGTCCTTTTGTTCTTCAGTCTAGTTGTGGAGAACATCGCTTCCATGTTGGTATTATCATTGTGCTCTTCCCAGTTGAGGCAGTTGCTCACCAGCCATTGGACAGCTGCTCACAGCAGCTCACGGCAGCTCATGAAAGCTCACACCCGCTGCCGGCCAGCCCCACTGCAACCTACGCCGTCACCAGTGACTCGTGGCAGCCCAGCTCCAGGTCGAACTGTTGTTCACCATCTTAGCTGTAGAGGGTGCAGCATCACTAGCTCTCATGTGGGATCTGAACCCGGGGCCCTGCTGCTCAGAGCTGGCATCCCAAGCCAGCTCCTAACCAACGTGCCACTTGGCTGGCCCACACCCATTAAACATTTGCTGAATACAGTAATGATTTGGGAGGCAATGGGTCTAGAGCTCACATGAAAGAATTAAGCTTGGAGGAGAAAGGGCTGCCTCTGTCAATGAAATAGAAAGAAGGAGTGAAGAAGACAAAAATGCCTTAGGTGAAAGGGATGGGCAGGAGTTTGAGGGTGTTTTTCCATGGTGATGTCTGTTTCCATGGTGACATCCTCTGAGGACTGGGGCAAAGGAGAGAATCTGAATAGGACTCATTTTCTGGGTTAATTTTGGCCATTAAAGTGAGCCATTCATAAAATGGTCTTTCCCAAATTTCACATTTTAGAATATAAAATTCTTAGTTGGTTAATAGTCAAAATAATACAGATTTAAATAATATGAGTATATTATCTTGGGCAAGTTTTAAAAACCTGAAAAAAATTAATTTTTAAAAAATTTATTCAGGGCCGGCTGAGTGGCTCAGTTGGTTAAGAGCTCACTCAAGAGTTTGAGCTCTGAGCAACAGCAGTTCGAGTCCTGGCCCAAGCTGAGCAGCCACTGAGCTGCCAGCAGGTGGCAGGATGGCTCAGTTAAAAAAAAAGTTTATTCATAGATGTATTTGATATAGATTAGCACAGGTTTGACATAAATGAATTTTAATGATATAATAGATTTAGGCTTAGAACTTACAAAATTTAGTCACAGTATCAAAAAAAGTGTTAGTAACAAATCCTAAATGTTTAGTAATTTGGTATTGTTTGGTGACATGGCATGTGTAAAAATAGAGGTTATGACACTGCATATTGTAAACGCTTTATAATAAACTGTTTTAATTAATCCTTCAGGTCCCAAAATGGTAGAAGTCCAGAGTCAACAGTTTCAGATCAAATCCAAGGAAGGCAAGCCACTGTTTACTGTAGATGAGGAGGAAGCTGTGGTTGGTACAGATAGACTTCGAGTCACTGGTATGTCGTAGCTGTTTTTCTTTCAGTTGAGATATAATGGACATATATTAGTTTCAGGTGTGAAACATAATGATTTGATGTTTGTATATATTGTGAAATGATCACCACAATAAGTGTAGTTAACCTCCATCACCACACATACTTACAGATTTTTTTCTTGCAATGAGTACTTTTAAGATTTACTCTCTTAGCTACTTTTAAATATATAGTACGGTATTATTAACTATAGAATTGTGCTGTACATTACCTCCCATGACTCATGTAATTTATATCTAGAAGTCTATACCTTTGACCCCTTGCACCTGTTTTGCCCATGCCCCACCCCACCTCTTGCAACCACCAATCTGTTCTCTGTATCTGTGAATTCCGGTATTTCTCATTTTGTTTATTAGATTCCACATATAAGTGAAATTCAGGTTTTGTCTTTCTCTGTCTGACTTATTTCACTTAGCATAATACCCTCAAGTTCCATTTGTGTCACAAATGGCAAGATTTTCTTCTTTTTGAAGGCTGAAAATATTCCAGTGTATATGTACCACATCTTTTTAATCTATTTATCTGTAGTAATTCTTGAGAAAAACAATATCCCATGGACTGTATTTCTGCAAAAGAAAATTGTACTTTTGGCACATTTAATTTGGAGTCTTTCAGGCAAATAAGAAAAAGTAGTTTGAATTTGTTGACTTTTCTTCATGACATTTCTTTTGAAATTCTTTGGTACTCTCCTAGGAGAATGAAACCCTCCTCACAAATCTTTGCCCACTGTTTTCTTCCACCACGTTGTTATCCTTTATCTCTATTTAATTGGTGTAACCCAAAAGCTTATCAGAAATTCCCCTATCATCTGCATGATATTAAAATATCTGTTTTCCATATGACATTTGCAAAAGAACCTTCTTCCAAGTCTCTTTTATTCCCATTCCACCAGGTACTTGGAGTCCCTATATTTTTACAAAAAAATAAAGATAAAATGGGGTTCTGATATGACTCATTTTTAGGACTGAAAAAAAGAAATTTTATTTTTAAAATGTTCAGAACAAGTTCTAAATTTCCTTGCCAAGCTTCTACAAAGACTAGAAGACAGAAAAAGGCGTACACTAGTTAAATTCATCCCAGTACTTTTATGTACTATTCTGAAACCTTTAGCAACTTTATTCTCTCACACATAATTATTAATATTTATAAATGAAATAGAAGTAACGTTCTCTGACTTAAGTAGATTCAGCCCTAACACAATGTTTTATGTAATCTGTAATTCTTAATAAAACAAACTATAAAATCATACCTATGTTGCAGCATACTCTGTGACAATAGGCTCCTTGTTTTCTTACAAAATAAAGGATTAGTAGGAAATCTAATTAAAGGAAGTTGATTATTGCCTAATAAAGAAATGGCCAGGGTACCCAAGAAATGAACTGTTTCATAGTACAGAGAATATGTCGGGCTTTGAAGGCCTAGATTCTATTCCTACCTCAACAATTACTAGCTGCATGACCTCAGGCAACTTAATCTCTTTTGGCTGTTTCCTCACTTTTAAAAGCAGATTGATAATGTCTACTGTATTGGTGCTGCTGGATTCAGTGGATTTATATGCAAAGGACCACAAAGGTTGTGGTAGAGTATTATGGCAATGCATGACAAATAGCCTAAGAAACAGCTTGGATAGCTTCAAACCCCAGCTGTCCTACACAGGGCATCAGTGATGTGAACCTTTCCTGGCCTAGAGCTCGTTCCAGGCCATGATGTCAATGAGTAGAACACGTGAGGAAACTTGATAAGAAAGTATATTATTTATTACCTACATGCATGTATCAGAATTACCTGGAGGACTTGTTAAAATATATATTGCTAAGCTTCATCCCCAGAGTTCCTGATTCGGTAGGTCTGGGATGGGACATGAGAACCTGCATTTCTTGGCTGGTGCTGCAGTGCCGGGAGCCCCTTTGAGAATGACTGTCCGGCGCTCACTTGACCAGAGTCAGTGGGAGAAGCAACATGTCAGCAACATACAGACACACTCCCTGGCACATACATTCAAGTTATCCTTCTCAAAGGTGTCACATTCTTCTTTTCTTTCATAGATTTTGTGGGGGTTTTTGTTGTTTTTGTCTAAGGCACAAATTACTTCCAAACTCCTCTTCTCTCCAGTGAAACTAACCACAGCAAGGGTACCCCCCACTTGCAAGTACTGTGTACTTTTCTTGTCATTATGCCTTTACAGTAATAGCAGCTCTTGTTGCCAGGGTGACCATGAGTGTTGAGTGTATGAACAGTAAAAATTTTGACCCAGACATTAACTTTTGTCAGTTTTCCAATATGGTCTTGGCTTCCTTAAATTTCGTGATTAAAGAAATGCAAGAAATTCCACAATTCTCACTTCTCTCCTTGTTTTGTCTCCATAGCCAAGGATCCAAGGTTTGACTCTGCATGTTCTCTAGCTCAGGTTTTCTCAACCTTAGCGCTATTAACATTTGGAGCTAGATATTTTTGGTGTGAGTAGGGAGCTGTCCTGTTCATTGCAGGATATTTAGCAGCATCCCTGATCTTCATGCCTCGATCCAGCAGCATTCCTCCCCCTCCCCCACAAGTTGTAACAGTTAAAATGTCTTCAGACATTGACCAAAGTCTTTGACGGGGATGAAGGGGAAGGGGGTAAACTCATCCCTAGTTGAGAACTGCTGATTTGCCTTAAACCTATACCATTTCTCTAGAATATATTAACATTTATGTAGTGTTTACTATGTGTTAGTAATTAAGCTAGATACTGGGGATGCCAAAAAAATGTATACAAGAGGAGACTTTGGTCAATGTTGCTCAAGCAGTAGTTCACCGTAATCAGAAGTGTCTGGACACTGATGGTAACCACTTTGAGCACCTCTTGTAATTGCAGAAGTCAAATGTGACTTGTATTCGTATTTTGTTATCAGTATATACTGAGTATTACAATTTTAATACAGCTTTCCTTTCTTAAAATGTGTATAGAATACATTTCTTTGGCACCCTCTGTACTTACAGTTCAAAATAATTAAGACATGCTCCCTTATGGGTGATGTTTCTCTTTTAGCTGAGATGTAAAACATTAATTTGTTGGTCACAGTCAGCCAAGGACTATAATAGCTCTTTGGGCCAGAGGCTACAGGACCTGCCTGGGGAAAGGAATCGGTCATGCCAGAGTGTGACTGAGAGAGAGACGAGAGTGGGTCAGAGTAGGTTTCTCCAGGAAAGAGAAATTTAAGCCAGTCTTAAAAAAATGGATAGAACTTTATCAGGAAGGAAAATTAAGGACTATCATTCTAAACAGAGTGAGGGGTAAGAATGGACAATAATAGACAATTGCTTAAAATAATAATGGATGACTGTTTTGAGAACCAGACTGAGTTCTGATCCCAGCTGCCTCATTCCGTAGATGAGCTCCTAATGTCTCACATGACAGCTCCAAGCATCTTTACCCACTGATCTCTCATTGACTGGAGGATATGGTATGGAACCCAATAAAACATATACAAATTGATCATGAAATTAAACTGCACATCTTGCCAAAGACGTAGAGCTTCCAGAAGTCAAAAATGATGTAGAAATAGTGGAATCCCTAACAAAGCCAGTAACAAAAAAAGACGTGAAAAGTCAGACATGCCAGCCACTGAAGAAGTGAAAATGAACAAAGATCATGACCTGATATGGACTTCAAAGATCAATAATTTTAACATCACAGGATTAAAATATTCACCCTTGGGAAGACTGGCAATGCCCTCAATTTGACTTATTATGGGTTTACTGCAGATGTTAAATATTACATGAATAATGTCCTGTGGTAGGCAGAATTCTAAAGATGACCTTTGCCCTTGTTAATATTCCCTCCTCCTGAATATGGATGGAATCTGTAACTATGATGAGATATCACTCCCATGATTATGTTATTTGTATGGCAAAAGGGAGATTAGCTGGGTGGGTCTAATTAATCATAGGAGCTCTTTAGAAGCTGACAGTTTTCTTTGGCTTATAGTAGAAGGGGAAGTCGGAAAAATTGAGACTGCAAGGATTTGTTGCTCTGTTGCTCTGTGAAGATAGAGGGGGCCAATGTGACAAGGAATATTGTGGCTTCTAAAGGCTTAGAGAGGCCTTTGTCTGACAGCAAGAAAATGGGACCTCAGCCCCCAAACCACATGGAACTCTGATTTTGACAACAACCTGACTGAGCTCAGAAGCAGATTCTTGCCCAGAGCCTCCAGAAAGAGCCCTCCCTGCCTGGCTGACACCTGGATTTTGGCCCTGTGAGACCCCGAGCATAAAACCCAGCCAAGCCCACTGGGTAGGACTTCTGACCTACAGGGGTGTGAGCTAACAAATGGGTATTGTTTTAAGCCGCTTAGTTTGTCATAATTTGTAACACAGAAAACTAATACAGCCCTTACACACTTCCAACTGTTGGAAAAATTGCATCAAAAACTAAATCTGATTTGTTCTTTATTTCATATTATTTCATAGTTGTTACAAGGATAACTAAGTTTTGTTAAATATTAAATACAATATGACTATTTTTATAATCTTTAATTTTTCAAAATTCCAATGAAAGCTTTTCTCCACTACTTACTATAGAAGTTTGAATCCTGTTTTAAATGGATTGACTCCAAGTAGGCTTTGGAGTTTGTTGGATCAGCAAAAGCAGCAGCAGTTGACAACGGTGGAGAAGAGAGGAGTGATAAGAGAAGAGAGAGAGCCAGCTTCCTCTGGGGACTGAGAAAGAGAATTAAACACTTTGCTTCACTTTTGTCCCCTCTGGTCACTTGCATAACTGCCCTCGACATGGAGTGGAAGGGGAGGGATGAAGTGGCTCTTTCTTTAAAGTGATACATTCCAGATTCCTGACTTGCACCAAATCCTAACCTTGACTTGGATAAAGAAATGTTTTCTTGACATTACTTTTGTCTTATATACTCAAAGAATAAGATGAAGCCTCCCTTTAACTCTTAAGCAGCTTCCATATAGACTTCAGTCAAGAAGGAAATGGAATAATCATTTTAAAATCAAAATAATGGAGGAGGTTAAACAATTTGACCAATTTAGTTGGAGATTGTCCTGGGCCTTTAAGGAGTTTCATCTTCCCCCCTAAAAATAGAATTGGTCACCAAGCAACCAAAGTTTACATGACTCTTTTACTAACCCCAGTGACAGAACATACTATTTGAATAGCATCAAAATGTCATCTTCAAAAAAAGAAAAATTTTGTTCCATTGCCAAGACTGACTTCTGGCAGATGATAAATTGCTAGTTTGGCTGCCCCAAATGTACTTTACTTCTTTGGCAATGATTTGCTAGGCTGGGTCCATTCCCCAACATTTAGTAAGAAAAACAGGGACCTGTCATGGTATCCATTTTCTCATCACCGATGAGGAAAATAAGGTCTAGAGGTAAGCCAGTTCACTTTATTTATGCCTTTCTATGCAGCTAAGCAGGGTGACATAAAGTCAAAAGTGATGGTGTAGAAATGCTGAAGTCATCCTCCAAGCCACGGACAAACGAGGACCTGGAGAATAGGATTTAACAACTGTAGAAGTGAATGTAAACAGGACAAAAAGTCTAGATCCCTTAAAAATACATGAAGACCGGCATCTAGAAGGTGCTTATAAGTCACCATGTCCTTCAAGCACATATCCAACACATTCATCTCCGAACACTTAATGATGCAGCTCTGTGGACAGTTGATGACCTGGTCCATCAGTTAATCTTTCCGCTGAAAGGAACAAAAGACCCAATTAAAGCTGGCTTAAGCCATAAGGACATAAAGTATCTCACAGGAGAAGTAGGGAAGTAGGATATTTTACTCCAGCTTTGCTTCTGTTCAAGTATGTCGATATCCCCCTTTTAGTTGCATAATGGTTCCATCAGTTGGATGCATCACTTCCCTGTGCAACAACTCCCCTAAACTTCTATTAGAGGAACGTGATGGCCTTTGGTGATCTCGCCTCTTTAAGTCACCCTTGCACCCTAAGTTCTCCTCATATGAAATTACTTGCATTTCTCTTATATGTGGATTTAGCTAGAATTTATCTTTTTAACCCAATCTAATAAACTTTGGTTTTTTAGTGAGGAATTAAAGACATTCCCATTCATTTTGATAACTGCTCTATTTTTCAGTCTTGTTGAATTTGAGTCTGAAATAAGCCTGGTGTAACAAGAGATACAAAGGGACCAGACCATGCAGGGACTTGTGAGCCATGATAAGTTAGGATTTAAGGGCAAAGGAAAGACGCAAAATTGTTTGGTATTCCTTAGTTTGTTATACATTTTAAGATCAATATGGCAATTACAAGGGAAAATAGATTATTTGGAGGAAAGAATGGAAGTGGTAAGACCAATTAGGATGATGTTGATTGTAGTACAGGCAATAGGTGATTGTGACCTGGCCTAGGTGGTAGCAATGGTCCTAGAGGGAAGCTACTGACACCAAACTAAGAACTAATATAGTATAGAGACACATAGATCAAATGGGTGGCAGGCATCCAGGGAAGGAATCAAAGATGAAAATATTATATTTGTTTCTGGATGATGGCATTACTCTCTGGGTAATGGAGATGCCTAGGAAGAGAAAAATACATTTGCAAGGTAAAGAGAATCGACAGTGAATTTTTAAGCTATCTATGAAGATATCTATGAAAAAGCCAACTGGATATGTCAAGTCAGCTATTGGACATGTCAGCTATCTGTTGTTCCTAGCAGAAGTCTCGACTACAGATATAAATGAGGTCACCATTAACCAACTGAACTCTAAGAGATGCCAATGTTAGAACTCAGGTTAAAGGGAGAGTAGCAACTATCAGAGAGTGAGAAGGGACAGACAATGTGGTGGTAGGGATATTACTAGAGCCATTTTCCCAGTGCCATTCTGTGTCCCCAGAATTTTGGGTCCAGGAGAGGTGAGGACAGATATTACCCTTGGATTTATCATCATGGAGGTCAGTATTGTATTAACAAGAGCATTTTCATTGGAATATTAGGCAAAGGGCAGTTTCAAGTGGCCACAGAGAGAATAGAATGGGAGGAAGTAGAGACGTTATGTGGAAGTTTGGCTGTGAAGGGGAGCAACAGAATTATTTTGCACCATTTGAAAAGCCCATTTCAGTCCGTACATGTTAATGTGTGGAATTAATAAATAGTTACCAGTGTAGATACTGCTATCTAACCAATGTCTGGGTATATATATTATCCACTGTTTGAACAGAAGTATTAATGCTGAATTCTGTGTATTTCTGTAATGGAAAGAACTTAGGAGTAGCAGAATATTGGGAAGAATGGGACAACTTGGAGCTATTAATATTTCCCTCCGGTCGTTGGGCTCTATCCATGACCTCCATGATTGCTGGGCTCTCTCCCATGAACCTTTCAACTACTTCACCACCATTTCAGTCCATCTTGTA